TGGAGCGTGTTCCGCCGACAATTCGAGGTCGTAGCGGAACACAACAAATGGTCGGACCGGGACAAGGCTACCTACCTAATCACCGCCCTGAAAGGCCGGGCGGCAGACGTACTACCCGGCATCCCGACGAACACGGCCTACCAGGACACGCTCCAGGCGCTAGAGGACCGCTTCGGGGACCAACACTTTGCAGCCGCCTACCGCTGCCAACTGACAACGAGGATACAGAACCCCGGAGAATCCCTACAAGACTTCGCCACAGCCATCGAAATGCTCGCCCGCCGTGCCTACCCCAACCTACCGGCAGACTACGTAGCAAGGGAAGCGGGGAAAGCATTCACGTATGGAATAGGCGACCCCGACATCAAGATCCAGCTGCTCCTGGGAGGGGAGAAGACAGTGAACGAGGCCCTCCGACAAGCCCTAGAACTGCAGGCCGTACTGGTAGCAGCCAGGCCCCACGAAAATAACAACAGGTACCGGAGGTACCGATCCTTCCCCACCCAACGAAGGGACAATCAACGGTCAAGGTGCTGGAACTGCAGGGAGTCGGGGCACTTCGAGAGCAACTGCCAATACGGCAGAAGAAGTGAAAATGGACAGCGCCCGGACGGACGAACTAGAGACAGGCGAGAGTCGCCCAGGAGACCAGAGTGGCAGCCCGGCAACAAGAAGACAAGCCGGAGGAGTGACCAACTGGCGGGAAACGGGCAAGGGCCGGCGGACGGGGGCGGACGCCGGCGTATGCACTAAGGCCCCCCCCACTACGCACTCACCGACATCACGGAAAAAGCCAACACCAGCCTGGTCATCCAAGGATGGGTCGGCGACAAACGGTGCCAGGTGACAGTGGACACCGGAGCATACGTCACGGTGGCAAGACCGGATATCGCCGCCGGATGGCCTGAGAGGCAGCCGAACCCAGACTTCACGCTACAGACCGTGTCTGGGGGATCCCTACCAATCCTGAAAGAAGCCTTGTTAACCCTCACCCTGGGTTGTAGTCCTCGGCTATCCCTGGGTCGCCACCCTCGCCATTGCATGGTCCCTCTCCGGC